AAAAGAAAAAAACAAACCACATTTTCTTTGTTAGGATTTGAATAAAATAAATTATTTAATGATCATTTCCTTGGCAAACTGCTCTTCTTTCCTTTCTGTAATCTGTTCTCTGCACAATGCTGGTTGGTTCTGACTCATGGAGACCCTACGGGACAGAGGAGAACTGCCCTACAGGGTTTCCAAGGAGCGGCTTGGGGATTCAAACTGCTAGACTCTTGGTTAGCAGCTGTAGCTCTTAACCACTGTGCCACCAGGGATCCAAAAAGGACACAACAGTGGGGTATTTGCTGATTAACATGGATGTGAAGGCATTTCTTTAAATCTGACAACCTCTTCCTGAGTTTATCTGACTGAACTAAATTATACCTATGGATCCCCACAAGTCAGGGCATAACCTAGAACCTTTGGCTAGCTTTCCATCACTTCCCTGAACCAGGTCCTCTTCCAGAAACACCTCTAGTTCGGTGCAGTTCGATCTGTTCCCTGGCCCCAGCCGCCTTTTTCCCTGCCAGCTCACTGTCTGGGCAATGAAGCTGCCTTACTGCTGATGGAAGGACGGCACTAAAGAGGCAATTAAAACAACTACTCACATCGTGTGCAAATATTCTCTCCCTCACTCTCTGATATTCCTCTTCTCTCTCTTCAATTGATTTACTTCGTCTGTCATCTCTAAATGGATGCATTCTGTTTTGCTGAACAGAGAAAAGAAATCAGGAGGGTTACCCAAGTTGAGCGCTGTTAGAAATCTGCAGTTAAGAACTGTCAGCTGAGAATAATAAAGGTTCACTTAAACAAATGGAGCATGAAAAGTCTCAATCTCTCTGGTCCCTAAGGAGGCCATGAAGGGGTGCATGTACAGTGTGTGCGTGTGCGCGCGTGTGTGTGCATGCGTGTGCGCGTGTGTGTGCGTGTATGTGTGTGCGCGTGCGTGTGCGTGTGTGACACACGATGACGGGGGATGTCTGCTGCACCTGGAAGTAGCGCAGGTGTTTCAGGAATGAAAGCCCCTGAAAGCGCCTCACGTGTTTACCAGCTCAGGTAGGCGGTGGGTCAGCAGCCATGGCTCTGTCTCCTTTGCTAACCTGCGTGATTCTGAGCCTTCAGAAGGAGGTGAACTGCTGGTGAAGTGGGTGGTTCAAAGAGCTGAGGGAAGGAACGAGTTTGAGAACTTGGGGACTAGGGAAATAGAACCAGTGAATAAACAGAGGCAGACCCCGAAAGGAATTCGTAGACACTGTTTTTTCTACATCCTAGTTTGTGTTTTTTGTTTTCTCAATGGCTGATTCTGTGAATCGCTTCTGGCATGGAAACTAAGACCTAAGACTTTAAATTTAAAAAGCCTGTTTGGGGGTGAGGGCCAATATCAAGAGAACCAAAGTAACAATTCAAAGAACCCAGCATGAGGATTGTTCCTCGGCACCCTCTCATCTGAACGTCCTCCTGCATCTCAACCCCCCACCCCTTACTCCAGCCACTGCTCGCTAAACGCTACGCGCTGACCTCATTCATCCATCCATCTGACAAACACCCACTCAGCACATGACACAGGTACATGTTTCATAGTCACCACGAGCCACAGTTCAGCTCGGTGATGGTGGCGGTGTGGTGGGAGGCAACAAGATACAAATGATGAGCAGGAGGAAAGAAAAGTGCGTCAGAGATGCACAGACTGACTTCCAGTGACTCGCTGAAGGTAACTGAAATAACTTGAGTGAGATACATGTTGTCTTACCTTTGAGAACGCTAAAGCAAAGTCATGTTCAAAAGAGCTATTTTGATTGTTGGAGACACAAGGTGTAATTTTAATGGCATTTATCTGGCTTTCTACTGTTCTTATTATGCTTTATTTTTTTTTCTTCTTTTGCCATTTATTTAGTGTTCCTCCTTGATATCCTCCACCCCACCCCAACATTCCCTCCCCTAATCTGGAGCAGAGACTTGGTGAACTCTCAACCCTTGTCCAGGTTCCACATGGCTACTCTAAAACAACAACAGAACGTTTTGTCACAAGCAAAATACATAAGGATCAAGTTCTGCTACAGTTCATGCAAAACAAGCGGACAATTTACATGGACACTCAACATGGGAAGCAGCAGCAGTGGGGACTAAAACATGAACTCCATTCCTTTCCATGAAGACTTATGTTAGGATAGTTGCAGAATCCACCTGTCCTCACCATAACAAGGTTTGTTCGTTACAGCTACACCGGTTGATCATCGGTCCGTATTGACAATCCAGCTCAATGTGTGCACAACAGAAGCACAAAGCTGTAGGGAGTGGACGGACTGCCGTAGTTACACAGACATCGGGAAACGCAACTGGCAAAGCTTTTCCCAACAGCTCAGAGCCTGAAGCATCCCCACCCCCAAGACATGCAGCAGAAACTGCGCCAAGCACCACCCATGCAGCCCAACACAGAGCCACTGCTGAAGCAACCAGGATAGTGTTTAGTTTTGCTATCCATTGAGTGCCAAAGGGGAGACCAAGGGAGGCAAGGAGGTTGGAAGAGATAGTAGAGTCAGAGGCAGGGGAGGGTTGAAAGAGGGCAGAAGGAACAACAGAAGAACGACAAGAACATCAGTCAGCCCACCTTCAAAAACAACAATGTCAGCCACTCTCAAACTTGAGAACCAACCTGATTGTCTTCTTTATCAATACTAGAGTTATCTCGCTTCAAGATAAACCGCTTCTGGGATTCTTCACCTTTTTCATCTTTTAAATGTTCAGAAAACCTTTGCTCTGGTCTGCCAGCAAAGTAAAACATATCAATAAAAAAAACTTTGCCCCCCTGCTTCAAGTTAGTTCTTTGCTGTTTTTTTCCCCCACAGTGGCATACAACTTAAAAAAAAAGTAAGTTTACAAGTGGTTTTGAGACTAGACTCGCTGGCAGCACGCGGGCAGACAATGAGAAGTCACTGCTCGTGTGTTGTAAGAATACCTTCGGTTGCTCTGAATTCGGAATCTCGGTTGCTGTCATGATTAACGGCCAGCTGCTCACCACCGCTGACGTTTAAAAACAACTTTTAAAGCCTGCACA